GCTTCCCTGTGCACAATGATATTAAGCATCATTACATGTCATTACCTGCCACCATGCTTTCCACCCTCTTGTTGAAGTGTCTGCAGTGATTTTTTGCCAGTTCTTAAAACATGGCAGATTATTTTATCATTGTTCAGGTTTGAAAATTCTTATCAATTTTAATGCAAGTTATTTATCAGACATATGATTTGATAAAACTCCCTCCTAGAATTTGGCTTAGTTTTTCATTGTTTTGTTACTTTAAAGGACCGTTTTTAAAAAACACTGGTGAAGTATAATATATAAGATTTTCTATGGCTCATGTTTTGGTGATGTATTTAGCATTTTTGTCTGTCTTTAAACTTTGAAGACTTTCCTTTCTCTTTCTTTAGAACTCTTGTATCCTGAAGTTTTACATTGAGATCTGTAATACATTTTTGCATTGATTTTGGATTTAGTTTTTGGAATACGTCTCATTTTATCATTTTACAGCATACAGATATTAACAGGTTTAGTGTCATTTATTAATAGTTTTGGTCTGTGTCAAAAACAAGAAGTCTCTGTATGTGTTGATCTAGTTAACTACACCATTCACTAGATCCATATTTTAAGATAATATGACCCTGCTTTCATTAAGTCATATCTATCCATTAATTAAAATCTTTAATTTTTCTCTCCAACACTGTTTAATTTACAGTGTATAGAATTTTCATATTTTTTCATAAATTTTACCCCCAATATCACACATAGTTTTGATATTACAAGCAAAATTGAAAAATTAATTTGATATTTTGTTGTCTGCTTTTTGTATGTTGACCTTGTCATTCAGATTTGTTCAATTCAATGATTAGTTTGAATAGTTTTCTTGTAGACACCACCTGATTTTCTACCCAAATAATTATGTCATCTGCCAACAAAGTCAGTCTACTTCTGCCTTTTGCTAAACTTGCTTTTCATTTCTTTTTCTTGCCAGACTGCCCCAGATAATGTGTTCAGTACAATACTGAATAGAAATGGCAAGTGAATATTCTTAGCTTGTTCTTGATTTTAGGATGAAAGAAATAATATTTCAATATTCAGTGTTACATTAACTTTCAATCTTTTAGAGGTATCTTTTATATTCTTAGCTTTCTAGGAGATTTTGCTGAGCATGTGCACTGGATTGTTGTGGTCTGAAGTTTTGCTTGGGGAAATAATACAATACAGGCACTTAATTAATAGATTATTTTATTTTATAATAGTCACCCAAAGAGTCATACAAAAAGAGTGTGGAAAGTCTGTCTACACACTAAAGACAAAGAATCCAGTTGAGGGCCTTCTCCCATAGCAATGTCCTACATGGGTTTATATGAAGATCTAGAGCTTCATTTGAGGAACAGTAAACTCCTAAGAGATTGGGACAAAGCCCAGGTTAGGCTCCCTTAGCCACCTGACACGGAGTCTATGATTGATTCATGATCAAATGGTAGGATTATGGGTGTCAGTGATACACCCATCCTGGGGTAGGTACCTGCATGCAGTATAAAAGAGGAAAAGAGGCTTGATCTCTTGCTGCTGCTCTGTTTTGCTGCTTCTCTGTTTGCTCTTTGTTGTCTTCTATTGCCATGAACTGCTGCTCTCTACCATGTGCTACTCTGGCTTGGACCCAGCCAAGAATGGACTGAAGCCCTTCACATACTGTGAGCTAAAAAAATTTTTCTCATCAATTTTGGTGTCGGGTGTATGTCTCAGCAATAAGAGAAAATTAACCAGGATAGACAACTTTTCAAATACCATGGTTCTTGGATCCTCAAAGAGATAAAGAGACAAAAAAAGTCTTAACATAAGGGATTTCATGCCATCTTCCTTTCCTTTTGGATCAAAAAGTCATAGCTGAAGAATAGTATTATAATTTAGGCTGAGATTCGGTACCCATATCTTGCCATTTCATATTTCCATATCCGTTTTTTAAGGATACATCCATAAGCAAAGTAATTGGGATCTGCAGGATGTTTCCCATGGTGCACTGATGCTCTTATTACTTAGAAGGGTAGATCACACCCAGGAGCTCCCTAAGAAAATCCTAAGTGATTATGGTGGAGTCTCTAACTTGGAGACTCCATTTTAGAAACAGTAAACCCTTAAGAGATCAAGATGAAACCCAGGCTAGTCTCCCTCAGACACTTGATACACGAGATCAGGGTGGAACTATGTCCAGGGCTTCCTTAAAAGTAGTAAACTCTTAAGAGGTCATGGGGGAGCCCTCTGGAGACTTCCTTAGATCAAGATAGAACCCTCATCTGGGGATTATCTTAGCTAGTTGAAAACCACATGTGCCTATCTTGTTTAAGGCTGTAGAAACCGAAACTTTTTCTTTAAAACCTCTAAACAAATCTCAAAATGTTCTGACAAGAATGACTATTTTTCATACTCATTGCCACTTGAGTTGACCTTTGCTGGCTATTCCTTTGTTCCATTCAGCCTGTCAGGCATGTATCCATATTACCTACATGTGTGTTAGAAGAAATAAGAAAGGTATCAAACCAATTCAAAAGTGAAAAGGGAAAGAGACCTATATGTTCCCTAACATCAGAGATTTAGCTCCTATCTTTAAGAGAGAGATTTCCTCATTGACAGTACAAAAGGCAAACAAACATGGCAGAATCATGTGATCAACTCATGTTTGACTAATTCACAAATGAACCCAAATGGCCACCAAACATGGAAGAGTTGAACTGAGTTAAAACAAGGCCCCAAGTGAGCAACTCACTAATGATACCCAGAGATCAAAAGCCACCCAGGGGAAAAAGTGGAGATGAGACTTTGAGCACAGAAAGGGGTACACTGGAATAGGTGGCCACGTGGGCAGGATACCAACTTATCAGTTACTGATTTTACAAAAAGTGCAAGAAAGCTGGAGAAAGCATCACAGAGAGCAGAACTTTAAGGACAAAAAGGCACACTAAACCCTTGATCACACACAAGGAACCTGAAAGATTACATCTTCTGTGACTGGGTTAATAATAGGGTGCTTTGTACTGCAATTGATGACCAAAAATGGGGAAAATAAGAAAGGAGAGTGAAGATAAATTTGAGGTGGACCTGTGGGTCTCATGTCAGCTAGGAAAAACACAGAGGCCATATCCTCCTCTCCTCCCTCCAACATGGTGGGACACACTAAGAAACTATTCCAAGCATCATGAGGATATTCCTTGGGTTCCCCAACTGAGCTTTTCTAGGGAAGAGAGAGGAAAAAGACTAAACATATGTGCTTCAGCTTGAGTGCGTGTGTGTGTGTGTGTGTGTGACAGAGAGAGAGAGTGAGAGAGAGAGACAGAGAGAGACAGAGAGACAGAGAAAGACAGAGAGAGAGAGACAGAGAGACAGAGAGAAATGAAAAGAGAAAAAAATACTCAAAAGCCTTATCTTTTGGCCAAATATGTATTAACTGGAGCAAGTTATAAAGCATTGTTTTAATTATAACATGTGTATATATTCACACACATTCATAGAATTTATCTATTTAAAATAAATGTGTATGAAGATATTAGAAATATATGTATCTATAATTTCTAAAATTATCTTTTATATTCTTTGCCGATAGCTAGGTATATTTTTGTTTGTTTTATGTTGATTAACAATAAAACATATTTATGCAGCATGATTTTTATATATTTATACATTGTGGCATGACTAAATCACTGTAATACATACATCACTTCACATATTTATTGTTTTTGTAGTTAAAACATTTAATAGCTACTATTTCAACAGTTTTCAAGTATAGAACGCATTAACTAGTTACCACGTAGATCTAAGCCTATGTGTCTTTAGTTTATTGTATTTCTCAATTTTGTTGTTAAGGATGAGATGATTATTTTATATTCTTTTTCAGGCAATCAATGAGTAGCTACTTATGTAAGGTCAGTTCCTAGGCCTTCATTAATTTCTTGGTGGTATCAGATACACTTAATTCTTGATAATCTATTAGGCTTGTGTTGGTTTCCTTGCCTTTGAAAGAACAAATCTTTCTTCTACTCTTCACTGATTGGTCTTGAAAGTAAATATTTTCTTTAGATAGGATACCAGGCTGATGGAATTACCTGTGGGATGGAGTTTAAGTGGGTTAGAAATCGCTTCTGTGGCTGTAGCTGGGTCTTCTGTAGGGTCTGTGTTTGGTGGACTTGTTACCAGGAACTCTGACAGGAGTTATTCTTATTTAGTTCTTTAGTGACTGCATTTTTTTCTAGGACCATGGTTTGAAAGCTAGGTTGGGTGCTTTAGGTTCTACATATAATAGGCTTATTATCAGGAACATAGGTAGGTGTGGCTTTCCCCCTACCTCTTGGAAGGCTCCTGCAGTAACCCTGGGTGGATCCATGGGCTACCAATACTTCCTTAGTCTACAGTTTAGATGGGGCTGGAATTAGGGTCCTGGACTGCTTCAGAATTCACAGCAAAACTGATGTCATTAGGCCTACCTTCTTGTTATTTAGAGTGAAAAGATGTTCTGTTAATTTTGTTCAACTATTGTGGATACTCATCAAAGTCTATCAATATGGCTCATCCATAAAAAATATAATTGCAATATAAATATAATATATTGAATATAAATTCAATTTATACAACTTCTTCACTAGATATATTTAATTATGAGCAAAATATCAATAGCAAATATAACAACAAAACTTGTTTTACATTTATTCCCTATTTTTACTTTAACTTTTTACATAGCTTACAGAATTGCTATTTTTGTGCATCTAATATATTAATTCAAAACAAATTTCAAAGTTTAAAAACTATTCAATTAACAATGGTATATGAATTAATATTTTCTCTATTTTTATAAGTCTGTGAATATTGTTTCTCAATTTCTTTTGGTAGTTTTATTTCCTGTATAGGGGGAAAAAACAAGAATATGAAAGGAATCAGCACTTTCAATGACTTCTCCTTTTGGGTTGACTCCACCTCCATTCTGTACCCTTTCCTTTTATATGAGTAAGGTGATTCTTCTGAGTTCTTAGTCTTCCACTTCCTTAAGACAACATCTCTTTGGAATAGCAATACAAGGAAACATAGAAATTATTGAAATCATAAAATTTGGGAATGGACAAACTGAGAATATTATTTCTTGAAGACCTTGGATCTGCTGGTAAAATATTTCATTTACCCTGCTCTTCCCTTTTCATGGAATTTAGAAATATTCTGACAGTTCAGGAGAGTACGAATGGATAAAGAACAGTTAGGGCTGATGGTACTGATTTTGATCTGACATAGATGCAACTCAAAAGGTGTGAGAAAGGGACAAGAGGTGGCATGGGCTTATAAATCTACTGAGGTGAGCTTGTCAGAAACTGAAGTTTAAACTGCAGAAATTTTAGTTTATAAATAAGGGTTGTTGGAAAAGATAGAATAGAAAGGAATAATGATTGATTTAAATGCAATTACTTAAAAGAAATTCAGTATAAACCCTCAGTGTCAAAGTCCATTTCATTATTCATATGAACATGTTAACAAATTTTTATTACTTTTACTTTTAAATTAGCATTAAGTGAGCATATGAAGGAAAAATGAGAGTAACAGAAACACTACAGTGTTTTATGTATATCTACAGATGACAAAATCTCAGCATTTGGATTTATCAGATATCAATGGTAGTACTTTATTATATTAATGTATTTGGCAAGTATTGTTCCAGGTAAACACAGTAAATGCAATCTTTTTCCTCATGCAACTTACTGTCTAATAGTGTGAATTAGGTGGATATAGAGGTGGGAATTTCAATAATTAAGCATTGAGCAGGTAGGAGAATGTAGAAATATCAGGAAATTTGTCTCGCATCTTTAAGAATACCTATTTATTTTTAGTTTCATTAATGCCTTTTTTAGTTTTCTAGGCTTATTTTGAAAGTGATTTCTCTGACATGTTATTTTGAGTGTGAATTTCTCCTGTTTTCCATTTAGAAAGAAGAGTTTTCTGTCTTGGTTTGATGTCCTTTGTTAACTCCAAACAGTCCTCTATCATTGTTTTTTCCCCACACCTCTGCTTGGGAAGCCTCTATTTTTGCCTTTTTTCTTTCTTTAACAGACCTCAGAAGACATTTAGTCCACTTGATGCCCTTCACTACTGCTGTGGTCATACTTCTCAATGTGTCTTTCATAACCAGCTCTCTTGGTGAGTAGCTTGTCTGTTCACTTTGTCTTAGTCCACCTTCATCAGAATTATTAAATAAATAATTTTTCTGTATACTGGATATCACTGAAAAATATGCTCTATGGGGTAGAAGTATCAAGTATTAAAAACACAGTAACAACCAGATTGTGTAATGCCAAATATTTGCCTGGTTATCCTCATTAAAATAAATTCACAGGAAAAATAGCCATGGAACTTAAAGCTTGGAAAGAAGTGTAGCTGGAAAAAAAATACAGAAACACAACAAAAGAAACTTGTATTATTGACTAAAAATAGAATTTTAGGAACACTTTAGTAAATTCAAATGCCAACACTTATTCAAGAATGGTTTAAAAATGGCAAGCTAAATGGAAACCCAGTTTCCTAAATTATTCTCAAATAATTGAGAAAGCAACAGAGATAATTTAGAGAACAGCTATGGGAAAGTAGTTTATAGTAGAAAACTGTCTCCATTTTAATTTTCATTTGAGTCCCTTAATTTTGGTCAGATTCCTACTATTGTTTTTAAGATAAATGCTATTTTACACATATTTGTGAAATGAATATTTAATTCCTTGTAACTAGTTTTTAATCCTCATAATCCCATTGTCAGTTTGTTTTAAATGATCTTTGGATTTAGGAGAATCATATGTATCCTATTCCTATAAAAGTCTATAGAATCTTATTTTAGTAAACTCTCCATGGTGATTAAACAAGTTGCCATCATTTAGAAAATTCAAGGGCCAGCCAAATAGCTCAACAGATTAAAGCACTTGCAAGCAGGTGCAGGAGCCAGGGGTTCGATCCCAGGCCTGCCATGCTGGCCCTGTCCCTGGGGAGCCCTGAGACAGCAATTGAGACTGGGTGTGGTGGCACGCACCTGTAATCCCAGCTCTTGGGAGGCCATAGAAAGGCAGATCGCTATGAATCTGATCTAGTAGCAGGACCCTGAACATCCTGTAGACCCTTCCCTAAAATATATATATAAAAAAAAAGAAAATTCACTGGTTAAATAGTACATCATGCAGTATTGTGTTACTTAGCTTTCCTGGTTTTGTAGCATTGGTTCATTTCAGCCTGTGAAATTTCTGGTTATATTTGAGTCCCTATCAAATAGCATTCTCGGGAGCTTGTGGGTTGGCTCAGTTTAAAACGCTTGCTTGGGCAAACTCAGTCAGGTGCAGGGGACCACAGTTCAATCCCCAGCTCCACATGCCACACCACACTGGCCCTTAAGGCAACCTGAGCCAGCCAAAAGGAAAAAGAATCCTCAAATAACCTTCTCTCTTTATACCATGGATGAAACCAGGATGATTCTTAAATCTGACTTTGAAGGATAAATAAGTAATGGAAAGTCATATAATTCCCCACTGGCTCTTTGTGACCTTGATCAATTGTTGTCTCAACTCATTGTTGCAGGAGGAACAGAAAAGGAGCTGAGGCTAGTGGATGGTGAAACAAAGTGCAGTGGCAGAGTGGAAATCAGAGTTCAGGAAGAGTGGGGGACAGTCTGCAAACATGACTGGGGCATAGAGGAAGTCACTGTGATTTGTCGTCAGCTGGGATGTCCAATGCTCATCATGGCCCCTGGATGGGCTAATTCCAGTGGTGGATCTGGACGTATTTGGATGGATCACATTGCTTGCAGAGGGAATGAATCTGCTCTTTGGAATTGCAGCCATGGTGAATGGGGAAAGGCTAACTGCACTCATGAACAAGATGCTGGAGTAACCTGCTCAGGTAAGACTTGCGTAAGTCACAGTAAATTACATGGGCATACTTCTGATTGGTCAGATTCTTGGAGTCCTTTTCTCCTTGAACAATTCACAAACATTCTAAAATGCATGGTAAAAAAAGTGTGGAGATGGCGAGAGAAGTAAAATGAGTCATGTTTATGGAATTGATGTAGTCCATCATAAAATTATCAAATCCACTGCTTGGAAAACAATTGGGAAAACTCCACTCTAAAATGTGGGGGAGGGTAGGAGATTCTGGGCATGTACTCAATGAGAAAGTGACTGATATCAATTCTATATCTGGTAATCGTACCATAACATATGAATACCAAGCTTTCTTGGAGTAGCCAGATAGCTCAGCTGACTAAGGCGACTGCTTAGGCAGGCACAGAGACCAGGGTTCCATCCTCAGCATGTCAGCCTCACCTTCTCAGGTGAGCTTAGACTGTGACTGAGACTGGATGTGGTGGCACACACCTGTAATCCCAGGGCTTGGGAGGCTGAAAACAGGAGGATCACTATGACTCTGATCCGTGTAGTGAGACCCTGTAGACCTTGCATTAAGTACAGAAAAAAAAATACCATGTTCTCAAAGTTAATTCTGGCCCCTTTCCAAATGACATATTGATTTAATGGATTTAATTCATAAGTCACTACGTTTTACATAAAAAGCTGACTACTTAAAAAGAAACAAATATTTCTAGCACTAATATTAATCTCACCCTATTGGAAAAAGGGTGTTTTCACAGTATAATTTCTTTTCTCCATGTCTAATGCCATTCATTTAATAGCATTCATTTTTAACTTATGAGTTTTTTGTAATTCTTTTAAAATGTTTGTATTTGGCACAGGGTCTCAGTAAGCAACTCAGGTTCGTAGTGATCCTCCTGTTTCTAGCCTCCGCAGAGTTGGGTTTACAGGTGTGTGCCACCATGCCTGGTCCAGGTAGTTGGCTCAGCATGCCTGGGGGCAAGGCTGGCAAGGCATGTGGTGCCAGGGATTGAATTCTGGTCCCTGTGTTTGCTTAAACAGGCGTTTAGCCCACTGAGTTTTTATAATTTTGATCTAAGGTGATCTAATAGTGACCCAGAAAATTTATGTGTTAACTCTTTCTGCTGGCAAATCTCACTTTTCTGACCCAAACCTGATGCCTTGGACTCCCCATTTCTCCCTGATCATTTTGTTGACTTTCATGTAATCTTCTCTCCTGCTCAATCTCACCTAGGGTCACCTGGCAGGAGCCTCTACAAAAGGATTTCATGCACTGAGTGAAAGAAACAGTGACAGGCTATCATCTAGAAAAATGTTGAATCAGTGTCCAGCACACTTAGTCATAGTGCTATGGTTTCATAAAAAGGTTTTAAATCTCTACATGTCAGTTTAATGAGAACTCAGTTGCATAATACATGTAGAATGACTGGGAAGCTGTTCAGTATGGCACAGATGCTGGAAATGTGAATTTCTTCACAGCTTTCTCCCATTCATTACCTTGTTGACTCAGGTCTCCTTTGTTCATGTTCTTGCTGTCCTCTCCTTCTCTTCCTTCCTCTCCTCCACATCCTTCTTCACTCATCCTCTGCTTCCTCATGGTATTCCTCCTCCCCTTCTCCTTTAGCTTATCAATCCCTAGGAAGTACAGAATAACAAAAATAATGCTTAGAGCCATAATGCAGTTTAATAAGCTCTTTGGATGATTATTGTTATCTATAGAACTGCAAATTAGCTAAGATAATACATTTGGCTTTTTGGTTTTTCTTTTGGCCTAGTTAAGAATGAAGTCAATCAGATTTACCCTCTGAAAATTATATATCTAAAACTACAACTGAATTTGTGTAGTAGGAAAAGGCTTGTAGCTATTTAAAGTTTTATGAAGTCATAGTGTCCACATTTCTAAGCTTCTTGACCCTAATTTTCAGATCTTTCAGCTCATTAGCACAGACCCTGAGGCCATATATCACAATAGTCCAGAGAATAACCTATGATGCTATCCCTGCCCCCCACAGAGGAGCTCTGGATGTTTGACTCTGTACCAATTATTTAACCTCAACCTTCTTATCTGAGAAGCAGAACTAATAATAGCACATAAAGTTGGAAGGAAAACAGAAGCTGGTAGGCAATACACTCAGAAGAGAATGTGCATATTTTTTGTTCTCAGTTTTTACTTTTAATTATTATTAATTGCTCATAATAAAAATAAATCTTGTTAAGTGGAAGTCTTTGCCTGGATTTCACAATTTGTAAAGATAAATTATACTTCAAAAAACCACTTCTACACATTTAAGTCAACCACACAATTTTTGCTTTTCAGATGTCTGAAACTTTATTTAAAATCTTTTCTTCATGTATTTTAATGCTGTAATTAATTAAATCTGAAAGGTAGCTTACAGAAAGAAATCTTATAAACAAACCTGCTTTATGCTACCAGTGATATCAGATGCTTTGGAGAGTGATGAACATGCTTTGATTCAATTGGAATGAGAATAAATATAATAATTGGATATCTTTTACTTTCAACTTTTAGAATTTCTATTCTACAGCATCTTCTTGCAAACTGTTATCCCCAATTTACTGTGTGCATTTTTACATTTGTTTTGTCCTATTTTCTAATTTCAAATCTGAATTCAATTACTTATGCTCTGAACTATTTAAAATAAAGGTAAAGATAAGTATTTTAAATGTCCAACCAATAACCTGCAATAACCTGCATGTCACTTTTATTAATTTAAGAGCCAATTTAATATATCATTAATTTGCATATTTTATAAATAAAAATATTTCCTAAATGAATATTGAGTCAATTGTGTTTATTTTTATGTAAAAAAGTGTTAATTTCTCTCCTAGTAATGGAAATAAAAGGCAATAAAACAGAAAGTTTTAAAACTTTAATCTGTGTAACAATTTCCCTAGACTTTAGATACAACGGACAATCCTAATTTTTAACAGGCTCCCCAAAGGTTAAAATTTTATAATCAGTGCAATAGGACATCTCTTCTTAGCCTTTTTTTTAAGACCCAGTGGAATAGGGCAGCTTTCAAAATCTGGTGTAATTTTTAAGAGAACATGAAATGTTGAGAATCCTGAGAAAACACATTTTATACAATCACTTCTCAATGGGTATCATTTAATTCTGGGGCCAGCCAGGTAGCTCAGCGGATTAAAACATCTGCTTAGGCAGACACAATGACCAGGGATTGTATCCCTGGCATGCTGGGCCAGCCCTACCCCGAGGGCACGCTGAGAGGGTGATTCAGACTGAGTGTGGTGGTGCTCCCCTATAATCCCAGCACTTGGGAGGCTGAAAAACAGGGAGGGTCACTACAAATCCAATCTGTGTAGTGAGACCCTGTAGACCCTGTACTAAATACATTGAACTCTGACTTTTTTTTTTTTAGATGGATCTGATTTGGACTTGAGGCTCGTGAATGGGCACGGCAGGTGTTCTGGAAGACTAGAGGTCAAATTCAAAGGACAATGGGGAACAGTGTGTGACGATAATTTCAACATGGATGATGCTTCTGTCGTGTGTAACCAACTTCAGTGTGGAGGCGCTATCACTTTCTCTAGTTTAGCGAAGTTTGGAGTAGGTTCTGGACCAATCTGGCTTGACGACCTTGAGTGCCATGGGAATGAGTCAACTCTTTGGTCCTGTAAGCATAGAGGATGGGAAAATCATAACTGTGGTCATTCCGAAGATGTGGGAGTGACTTGCTTTGGTAAGCAGAGTTTCTTTCTTTGTGACGGGACAACAGGGGAAAGAGAGAAATAGTCTTCACCAAAGTCTGAGCCCTTAACATAGAGTGAATATCCTTTTGTCATCTCAGTATTTCTTCATTTGGGGTTCTAGTACTGATATTTGTGGTTTTACATTAAAAAAATTAGAAGGAAATTCTACAAGTTCTAGATCATGAGCCATGAGGAATGAAGAAAGTAGCAAGAGGAGAAATAGAAAGGGAGAGGAAAAGGCAAGAAAAATGAAGACAGCTCAATTCAAAACCAATATTAAAATAAGAGAATACTGGTATAAAACTGGAAAATTCAGAGGGTATAATTTGTTTCATAAGTGGGTGGAGTCAGATGCTTGAACAATCATATCTGGCTTATGTCTCTTTTTCTATTTCTTCAACTGACTTTTTTTTGTTAGACAACATGA